ATATATATATATATATATATATCTATATCGTTGAACAGCCTAAATGGCTGGAACTCCTTATCACAATGTTACTTGATAATACGATCGAGCTAAGCATAAATGGATAAAGTATGGCATAAAATATCATACTGTGATTCGTTCTTCTTTAAAATAACTTCAATTAAAACTAATTAACATGTTTACTGTCACCGACGCGCAGGCGCGTCTTTGATTTGCGCTTGTGTCTCTATTTTTAAGCGCTTAAAATATAAGCGCCGAAATTTTTTTATACAACTCGCCTCACTAAAATCACTTTTTAAAAAAATTATGACAAAATGTTCCTGGCGAAATGTTCCAAAAATAAAATGAAAACATAGTGATAGTAAACGTGTTAATTCAATGATTCCTTTAGCAATTTGCTGTTCTGCTATTATTCATCTGGCTACTGCGTATTTTAATCAATTCAATATTATACTAGTATCCGTTAGTCTTCCATCTATTCTTATTTTGAGAGGAAATACACAAGAATAAATTTTTCAATTTAACATAGATAACATCGTGGTAACTTTAGAAATTTAAGTTTTTCTTTACAACATAATTAAGTAATATTTACACGTCTGATTTTATACATATCCCTCCTCCTGAACGCACAGTTTATATAAAAAGCGTACTGCATTTCTTCGTTTGAAGATAAAACTATAACAGAAAGGAAAGAAGACAGACACTCACGTATAGAATTGTATAAAGTTCAAACCGTTAATTCGCTGGCGATCGGTATAACTCTATCTAAAAGTTCGATCTATTTACTGTGATATGCCGTAGCCAAATCAGTCCAACTATAAATAAAGAAAAATATGACGTCAAAAGTGAAGTTCTTCATTTTATCTCATGACTTGAAGCGTCTGCGGGAAATCATAATAGACATAATCAGATGGTAGAAAAAGGTAATTCAATTCTTAGAAAATGGTAGTGTTATATCAAAGGTAGCGTGTGCGTTTTACTTTGACGTTGATAGTTTTTAATTTTTTTACGTAAATACAGATCTTGCGCACGTTCAACACCTGGATTACGTTATTCCATTCGCTCTATCGTATCCCATGCGGGAAATGCTGAGCGGTCAACACGGTGATGAATCGTAGACAAATCATCCCGAATAAATAGCAAAAGATGTTACGCGCCAAAGAGATCGATGAATATTATCATGACATTTCGCACCCGTGCCTCTGCCGACCTTGTTCTCCCCCCACGATCGAATCGACTCGTTACGAGCGTCAGATGGCAGGCGCATCACAAATAATTATCCTTCCAGCATCCTGGCTACGTTTATGACGTAAGATATCGCGAGATTTAGTCCGTACCGATCTATCAATCGTGCCATCTGCTATCGAGGCTGTTCCATCGGTGTTAACGGCCTTTTAAAAAGGTTTGATTATATATCTAAATACCAATCACAAAAGCAAGAAAAAATATTATATTCAATTTGTATGTTTTGAAAATATCAATATTATAATCATTTTACACCGGATTTTTAATTTGATATTTAAAACAGCTTGTGTTATATATAAATATAAAAATTGTCTACACACTTATTTAAGATGTAAATTATGACAAAGATAATAAAGAAAAAGTAATTCAATTATTGTTCAGTAAAGCAAATAAAATAAAAAATAAAAATTTATATGTATGCAATTTTTATTAATGTAATTAAATGTGGTATATTTCAAATTATTATTACAGTTATTATTATTATTATTATTAGGTGTAGAACTTTGCTTCCGCCGTTTTCCTATAGATGGCTTTAATGGTAAGTGGTCGAAATAAATACATCATAGAATAAACTTGGGCATCTGTCAACATAACCCCATAGAAACATTAGTCGATTTGTGTCTGCATCATAAAGTTATTCTCGATTGAAAATGTTAGTTTACGAGCCAAATTCTCGTCATTTGCGGGAGGTTTTAATTTTTTGCTTCAATATGAAGAAATCTGCAGCTGAGGCTCATCGAATGCTCTCAAATACTTATGGTGAGGCCGCTATTAGTGAAAGAACGTGTCGTGAATAGTTTCAACGCTTCAAAAACGGTGATTTTGACGTCCAAGGTCATGATCTGTATTTGGTGGGACCAGCTCAGCGTAGTGTATTATGAATTGTTAAAACCGACTGAAATAATCACAGGCGATCGGTATCGAATGCAATTGATGCGTTTGAGCCGAGCATTGAAAGACAAACGACCGCAATACAACGAGAGACACGATAAAGTGATTTTGCAGCATGACAATGCTCGACCCCATGTTGCAAAAGTGGTCAATACTTGGAAACGTTGAAATGGGAAGTCCTATCCCACCCGCCGTATTCTCCAGACGTTGCTTCCTCTGACTATTACTTGTTTCGATCAATGGCACACGGCTTGGCTGACCAGCACTTCCGGTCTTATGAAGAAGTAAACAATTGGATCGATTCGTGAATAGCCTCAAAAGATCAGTTTTTTCGACGCGGGTTCGTACGCTACCCGAAAGATGGGAGAAAGTAGTGGCCAGCGATGGACAATA